AGGCCCTTTTGATTTTTCTGTCCTGTGTATATCCAGTTGTTCCAATGCTGTTTGTTGAAAAAATATCTCCTGTGTCTCTTCTCCATTGTGTTGTCTTTGCTCCTTTGTGAAACCAGTTGGCTGTATTTATGTGCATCGTCTCTAGGCTCTTTGTTGTGTTCTATTGGTCTATTTATCTATTCTTTCACCAATACCACCCTGTAGCTTGATTACGGTGGTTTTATAGTAAATATTGAAAGTGGAGTGATGCCAGTCCTTCAACTTTCTTCTAATTCGACACTGTGTTAGCCATTCTGGGTCATTTGCCTCTCTACAGAAACTTTAGTTTGCTGATGTCTACAAAGTAACCTGCTAAACTATCTTACAGTTTTGAAGCATTCACTTGACAAGGTCAGGTCCAGTCAGAATCATTTCTTTTCTTTTTTTTTGGATACCAGGGATTGAACCCAGGAAACCTAAGTTGCCGAGACTGGCTTTGAACTTGCATTTCTTCTGCCTTAGCCTCCCAAGTTGCTGGGATTATAGCCGTGCACCACTGTACCCAGCCAGAATGATCTCCTTTTTGATTAAGTCTCTTTAGCTCACCAGTACCTTAATTACATCTGCAAAATTCCCTTCGCCTATAGTGAAACATGATCTTGGGATTGGTAACCTTCATATTCACCAGACTTGCCCATACACACCAGGGAGCCGAATCTTGAGAGCCATGTTGGAATTGTGCCTGCCACAAAAATACCATCACTGAGTACCTACTGCAGCGCCAAACACCATTTGATTAACTTCCACCTTCCAGTTAAATGGTGCCATCAGGGAAGCTAAAGCTCAGGGAAATGAAGCCATTTGTATAACTAGTAATTACTAGTGTCGAAATCCTAACTCAGCTCTGTTGGTATTCAAAGGCAGGCACTTTCTATAAATCCTGTCACTCTCCCGTCTTTCTGATGTATGTACTTGCTTTTCTCTAGGCCGCTGTCTTGTCTGTAGGCTGCCATCCTCCTTCCCAGGTTTCTGACAGCAGTCCCTGCCTCTGCCCTCCTGCCTCTGCTCTTGCTCTTCTCTAGTCCATTCTCCACAGTCTTAAAGTACGGCCCCGCCTGGGGAGCTGCCTGCTGCAAACACCTGACCTGTCCTTTCCGTCTGAGTCCATGTGACCCAGAGCCTCAGTTCGTGGTCGCTGCCTGCTTCTCTAATTGATCTCTTGCAGCCGTCTTGGAGTGTCCCATGGTTCCCTCTGCCTGCTGTGGTTTTTTGTTGTGTTTTGTGTTGTCTCCATTTTCTTTCTAGTGCTGGGGATTGAACCCAGGGGCACCTTGGGCACAGAGTAACATCCCCAGTCCCTTTTAGGCTTTATCTGGGGACAGGGTCTTGCTGAGTTGCTTAGGCTAACCTCAGACTCTATGGTCTTTCTGCCACCGTCTCCTGAGTAACTGGGGAATGCAGACATGTGCCACCATGCCCAGTTTGCCCAGAACATTCTTAGCTACTCTTCTTCTGCCTATTTCTACCCAGCTTTCAGGTCTAAATTAAATTCCACTTCTCCAAATTCTCCTTTGGCATATTGACTTGATGTGCCCATCCACGTGCCCATGGCACCAGGATCTTCCCTATGATAACATTGCCTTTTGTTAAAATGCCGTGTTTGTCTGTGTTGTCATGTTCTATATCTCATTCTTAGCTGTGTTCCCAATGTCCAGTACATAATGGACTCTTGGTAAATATGTATTAATAAATGAATGCCAGAGTACTTTAATAGGTAACATTTTTCTTTTACCTTTGAAATATTTCTTTTTAGTCTCTGCTTTTCTTTCTTTGCCATTGGAATACTTTTAATATCACATATCAGAAAAGCTACCCACTTTCATGTGTTTTATTCAATATTAAATAATCAGTATATGCTGTAGCTGAGACGAGATAGTGGGCCTTAGACTTTAGATTTCCTGCATTTCCAGTTTATGCTCTTAGCTTCCTGAGGTTATAATCTGGGCCTTAAAATTCATGCTGTTAACTATTTATTGTACCACCACCCTGAGTAAGTTATTCAGTAAATGCTAGTTTATTTTCTATATAATAGAATAAAGTAATTTATAAGAGGTATGAGGAAATCCCCTTCAGTAGGTAAATTGGGATCTAGTATACTGGCCAAAAATTGTGATTAATTTTATAAAAGTAGTTTTAACTTTACGTTACAGCTGTAGATAGCCTTGTGAATAGGAACATTAACATTGTAGAGTCTTGTATCATGTTTGGGAAAATGTTGTTAAAATGCCTTTCCTGCATGTTTTCTGCTGTGGCCAAATGAGTTGTAGAGTCTCGTGCGTACGGGCTCTCTAATGTTCTCAATGTTTGGTAGTGACTTTGATTCTACAGTTGGGAAAGACTTGGAGAGGTACAGATTATTGTACTTCAGTAAATGTTAAGCATACAGATAAGCCATTTTTTTAAATTAGCATAAGATTTTGAAACTAAATTTTCAGTAAACATCCCACAATTTTCCAAGTAAACATGATCACATTCAATGCAATTGCTTTGGAAGGTATCTAGGAATGTTTCCATTCTACAGAATGATTTCAGAATTCCTTTTGGAATTAAAGTCAGAGCCACCACACATGCTTTTCATTGAGAAAGTTATTTTGTGGAAACAATATTTGAGGATAGTTATTTTATGGAAATTACATTAAGAACTATATCAGGTAAACAGTATGTGATCAAGCTTTGTTCAAAACAAGATGCAACTCTGAAGTTACGAGACAGGACTGTGGTATTTGTTGGTTTGGGGTCATAAATCTGACTCTAAAGGCAAACAGAAATTCCCATTAACTAACTAACTAACTAACTTACTTTCTCTCTTTCTTTATTTTTTTAACCCAGGATTGAGCCCAGAGGCACTTAACTACTGAGCTACACCCCCAGCCTTTTTATTTTTAGAGACAGGGTTTCACTGAATTGCTTAGGGCCTCACTAAGTTGCTGAGGCTGGCCTTCAACTTGTAATCCTCCTACCTCAGACTCCGGAGTCGCTGGGATTACAGGTGTGCACCACCACGCCCAGCTCTAGCAACTTCTTTTCTTGGCATTACTGGTGATTAAATCCAAAGCCTTACACATGCTAGGCAAGCACTCCATCACTGAGCTACAGCCCCAGCCCCACCCCAAAGTAATTTTTGTTACTTTTGTGTAGTAACTGCAAGACTAAAAAGGGCACTCATAGGAGGAGAATGAAGATTAGTCATTTTATTTTGATGCTTACAGTTGAGTAAAGTCTGATTTTTTTTTTGAGGAAAGCCATATTGAAAACATCTCAGTTTGTTAGATTAAGATTATAAAGTGAGGGCTGGGGTTGTAGCTCAGTGTAGAGCACTCACCTCACATGTGGAAGGCACTAGGTTTGATCCTCAGCACCACATAAAAATAAAATAAAGGTATTGTGTCCATCTACAACTAAAAACATTTTAAAAAAAATTATAAAGTGATAACTCTTTGTTTCAAATAGTAACATTTTTCAGGCTTGGGATATAGCTCAGTTGGTAGAGTGCTTGCCTTGCATGCACAAGGCCCTGGTTCAATCCCCAGTACCTTAAAAAAAAAAAAAAAAAAAAAAAAGCTTAAATAGTAACATTTTCTGTAAGGAAGCATCTTACCCACTGAGCATAGTAGTGCACACCTATAATCCCAGCAACTTAGAATGCCGAGACAGGAGGATCACAAGTTTAAGGCCAGCCTCAGCAACTTAGCGAAACTGTCTCAGAATTTAAAAGGCTGAGGATGTGCTCGGAAGTAAAGCACCCCTGGGTTCAGTCTCCGGTACCCAAAACAAACAAACAAAAAGCATGTTTTCTTTTCCCACAATGCATGACCCTAAGTCAGGACTACTGTGGGCTCTAGTAGTCTTGGATGCTAGTTATTAAAACTATTTTTCTGAGTTTACTTTTTCTCATCCTTAAAATGAGAGATTTAGAATGACATCTAACCTAGTGTCCCTTTCTGTGTAGGAAAACTTAAATTTTTTCCCCCAGTCAATGGAAAGCTGTACAATGGACTATGTAGTAATATAATCATTTGTTTTCTATATGCCTTGTTGAACTGGCTTTGAAGGTTATTTGATTTTATCTCAAAAACCATACATTGCTTTTGGCATTGTCATGATACAGTGAGAAACAAACGTGCTTCAAGTGTACAGAGTAGTGGGTTGAAGCAAAAGAGGCTTGTCGGACAATAACTGTCAATACATTGTCTTCAGTATTTATTTACTTCTGACCTTGAACCACAGGAATATGGACAATAAAATAATGATAAACTTCAAATGATAGGAAAACAGGATCAGGAAAATTCAAGATTGGAAATCAACATTAGAGAAACAGAAAGAACATGGATTTGGCTCTTGGGTTTCTGGCCCCAGAGTTTAAAAGGAAATTAAGTGGTTCTGATTTTCAAAGATAAGAAAAATAGACACCCCAGGAAAGGTGAGGATTGTCTCAGCCCTGAGTTCTAAAAGAACTCTGCAGTGTGTGTAGACAGAAGAGTGAAAGGCTTTACAAACAGCATGGAGCTGCAACAACATGGAAAAACTAAAAGTAAGGGAGCCTGTGTTTTTACCTACTAAAGTAAAACTGAGACTCATCTCCTAAGTGAAAAGCAACAAAGGTTAAAAACTAATTATCTTGTTGGGCATTGTAGCACTTGCCTGTAATCCCAGCCACTCCGGAGGCTGGGGCAGGAAGATCACAAGTTCAAAACAACCTCAGCAATTTAGCAAGGCCTAGGAATTAGCAAGACCCTAGCTCAAAATAAAGCATAAAGAGGGGGCTGGCCCGGGCATGGTGGTGCATGCCTGTAATCCCAGCAGCCTCATATATATCTTGTTTAGAGAGTTCTGCTTAGTAATATGGAACTTTTCTGTGAATGAGAAAGCTTAGGTGCCCTTTCTACTTTGTTGCCCTAGACTGAGTTTAAACTTGAATTCTAATCAAGTCTTGCCTCCTTCTGTTTTCTATGTGGCACTAGCCAAAAAAGAAGAACATGTCGGCCTATCAAGTGTTCTGTAAAGAATATCGTGTAACCATTGTGGCTGACCATCCAGGGATAGGTAAGAACATTTCTGATCTTAAGTTTTTTCACTTTATCTCTGAATCAGTGCAGTTTATTGATCCAGTCAGCAGGCAACTTCTTCCCATAATGTTAGAGCACAAATCACATTTTTTTCCTCAGATCTGCAGATCACCTTAGATTTTGCCCTATGCATAAAAGACAGGAGCTTTCTATACATATCTCTTAAACTGATAAAATGGGAAACTTTGTAAAATCAATGTTATAAAGTATAATACATATGTATATGCATAAATACACAGTTACTTCCAAGATTCTATCTTGACCTTTTCCTTAAACTGTCCTTGCGTGTAGAGTTTACAATAGGTGACTTAGCTATGCTGTTCCTGTTTGTGTTCGTATTAGAAGCCAGTGAGCAGAGAACAGCGGGCAGAGACCTCAGACAGGTCACTGACACCTACAAACCTCCCTGGTCTACTGTGTAAAGTAGCTGCTCTGCCCACTCCACTAGGTTGCTTTGAGGTGACCTGGGTAGGTCTCACAGAATAAACTTGGCCATACAAAAGAAAGGATGATATTACACTTCTGGACTGCTCTAGGAAAATTCTTCTTGGCTTCTGATCTCAGAAATTTTGGTAGAAACGTAGCATCTTTGATCAAATTCTCTGTAGCATATTGCTTTAACCTAACTTGGTTGGTCTTCTATTGTGAAGTTCAATGAAAGGACGCCAAAAAGATGCCTGAGGAATAAATCCCTAGAGAGTAGATGTGGAGGGTTAGAGCCTGTCTCCTGGCCAGAGCACCCCGCTCCTACAGGAAAAGGCAGAAGAAAGGCGCGAGGGCCGGGGCCTCCTGAGGGAGGCAGCGTCACTTCAGTGGGATGCTCTTTTCGGTTTTGGCTCTCACCAGCCTTTTGTTTTGTTGAGTTGGCCCTAATCTGTATTGTTGTCTTTCTTTCTTTCTTTCAACTCTTCTGCCAGATTTTGGGGAACTTAGTAAAAAACTGGCTGAGGTGTGGAAACAATTGCCAGAAAAGGACAAACTGGTAGGTATACTTTCTTATAAATATAATTTTCTTTGCTTTTTGCCTTCCCAAATGGTATAGCTCTTCCAGACCATCCATCCACACATAGTGGGGGGGAAAAATCACAAATTAGGGGCTGGGGCTGGGGCTCAGCGGTAGAGCGCTTACCTAGCACATGTGAGGCCCTGGGTTGGATCCTCAGCACCACATAAAAAATAAACAAATAAAATAAAGTTTAAAAAAAAAAATCACAAATTAACGGAAAACGATTTAGCACGCAAGGGGCACTGGCGGTGCTGCTGCCAAGTTACTCCAGGCAAGGAGTTAGCTAAAGGGAGGTGACTTTATTTGATTTTTTTTTTTTCCCAAAAAAACTTTAAAGTTGGCCGGCTGCACTTTGTAATCCCAGTGGCTTGGGAAGCTGGATGGGAGGATTACAAGTTCAAAGCCAGCCTCAGCAACTTGGCAAGGTTCTAAGCAACTCGGTGCGACCCTGTCTCTAAATAAAATTCAAAAAAGGGATAGGGATGTGACTCAGTGGTTAAGTACCCCTGAGATCAGTCCCCAGTACCAAAAAGCCCTTTACTATGAATACCTAATAGTCCTGTCTAAGAACTGAGGATCATCATCCTCAGACAATAAAATCATGGAGCACACTTAGCCAGGTTCCAGGTCCCCATCCTCATCAAGCAGCTCAGAAGACAATGGTGAATTCATATCTTAATCATGCAGAGTCACTTTCCAGTTGGGTGATCCATAAATTGTATGGGAACAACTGCCGGTTAAAGTACAACTCATTTTAAAAAAAAATAAGTACAACTCTTTAGATGAAACAGCTGGTTTTCACCCAGATAGATTAGCATTTGTTGCTGTTTTCCATGACATTTTTGTTTTACTATTGGTTTTGTCAACCATGAGGTTACAGGAAGTATTTAAACCACCTGGACACTATACAGAGCCACAGGTTTACAAGTCACTACTGAAATTTGACCATCAGCACTGAGGAACATTTATGATTTCCAAGTAAACATCAATACAAACAACAGTCCAAAGGCAATTCACTGGCCCTTTAGCTTAAGAGTTAGCATTAACCCCTACCTGCCCTCCACTGTTCCTTTCTTCATTTTGTTCCACCATGACTGCTTTCTATTTCACTTTTTTGTCCTTATAATTTGTTTTAATCTATTGGACACTGATCTGCTTGCAGATTTGGAAACAAAAAGCTCAGTATCTGCAGCACAAACAGAACAAAGCAGAAGCTACAACTGTGAAAAGAAAAGCATCAAGCTCAGAAGGTTCCATGAAAGTCAAAGGTAGTGACCACTTCCCCTTCCTGCTGAAAATTCTTTTTTCTAAAGTGATGTAAATTTTGCTTCCTTACTAGGAAATTGGGAAAGCAGCTGATATTAGAAGCAAAACTTTATACCCAGGTATTATTACGGAATAGTATAGGCAGAGGGGGGAAAAAGATTCAGTTGTGTGTGTGTGTGTGTGTGTGTGGGTGTGTGTGTGTATGCCCAGAAAGTAAGTATAGGCCTTATGTGCGATGAGCACTCTCTTGTCACTTATTCTTTGTTTTTTTTGTTTTGTTTTTGAATATTTATTTTTTAGTTGTAGTTGAACACAATACCTTTATTTATTTATCTTTATGTGGTGCTGAGGATCGAACCCAGGGCCTGGCATGTGCTAGGCAAGTGCTCTACGCTGAGCCACACCCCCACCCTCTTATTCTTTGTTTTTTTCTACAACTCTTTATAAATATAAAACTATTTTTAACCCCCAAGTCACACAAAATGTGATCATGGGCTAGATTTAGTCCACAGGCCATAGTTTTGATTTTAGTTGGTATGATTCATAAAAGGAAAAACCAAAAGTACTGTTTTTTTGGTGTTCAAGACTTACTTTACAAATTTTATCTTATTTCACAAATTTTACCTCTCTTTAAATTCCTCTGTTCTCAGCTGCTTCTGTGGGAGTACTGTCACCCCAAAAGAAGTCCCCACCAGCCACCATGCTGTTACCAGCATCACCAGCCAAAGCCCCTGAGACAGAGCCCATCGATGTTGCAGCTCACCTTCAGCTGTTGGGAGAGTCTCTCAGCCTCATCGGACACCGTCTACAGGAGACGGAGGTGAGTGCAGCGCCGGCAGCAGGACCCACGCTGGATGTGCAGTGCAGACCCACTCACTCAACACACACTCCCTGAGGTTTTTCCCTGAGGTTAGATTGTGCCGGGCACTCAGGAAACAGTGAAAAGAAGACACAATGGTAACAGAAACTTGGAATCTACCTGTTGTCACTATACTAATACCACCCAGTGGCACAAAAAGAAGTTAGAATACCCTTGAGCTAATTTTTATTCTTTAAAAATGTTATGTAAAAGATGAGTGCAAATCCATTGCATTTCAGATTGTTAGTACTTCTAGAGGAGTTTGAACTTTTCGGTGCATTTCCAGCAAAGTTCTGAGTAGACAGATGACACTGTATGGGGGATTAAAAGTCCCTCTTCCTTGAGAATAGGTAGCAAATGGGGGAAGTCAAGTTTCTCAAGCTCTTTGTTACAGTGCCCTTGAATTACAGTGCTGTGTGCTCAGGGGAGAAGTTCGTCCTTTTAAGCTTCAATTTCAAAATCGCTTAACCTGTGAGGCTGCCGTGCTCCATTTCTATGTCCGTATTCAATTTCTAACCACTGTGCCTGTTAGCCAACTCAGTAGCATAGTAGTTCATCTTTCAGTTCTCGTAAGGCATTTCAGCAAAGCAATCTAAGCTACTAAAGCCATTTTTAAGCTAAGAAATCAGTGCAGAAGTATAAAGCTAATCACTTGCTTCTTTGTGGGAGTGAAATTATCATTCAGTAAATAAAATAAATGCCAAAGGCCACAAGAGATGAAGCTATCTGAGTTCTTTGGCTAATTTCTAAAAATTCAGCAGACATCAAAAGAACTTAAACACTCTTGTGGAGACTTATATATGTGAATGGTTGAAGGTATTTCCAGAATATATTCTCTGGTCCTTATTTATGTTTTTCATATTTAATCATTCTTATGTTTCCTAAAAAGTTAGAAGTAAAAGTGTTTTGTTTTAAGCACCTTTCATATTCCAGGTTTTCCCAGATAATTCCATTTAGTTTGGCAGATATTTCTTGAATACCTAGGCATTCTTCCAAGAACTTGGTATAGAAAATCTGAATGGCACAGTATGCCAATTATTAGGAAACTTACAATACAATTGGAAAGACAGAACATTTTTATAATCAACAAATTGAAACAGCAGTTGGGGATTTAGCTCAGTTGCGGAGTGCTTGCCTAACATGCACAAGACCCCGAGTTCAGTTGGCCCTGAAAAACAAAAAAAGCAAGGAAAAAAAAAAAGGTAATAAATTGAAACAAACTAGTTTCTATGAAGAGTTGCAATGAAAGTTATATACATAGTACAGTAGTCCCTTGCCTGTGGAGGATATGTTCTAAGACCCCTGTAGATGCCAGAAACTGCAGAGAGTATCAAACCCTATATACCAGCACACTGATAACACAGTAGTCAGCCTGATAACTGAGGTGCCTAACAAGTGGGTGGCATATACAGTGTGGATACTCTGAACAAATGGTCAGTTCACTTCTGGGGCAGGACTGAGTGGAACAGAGATGTCATCGTGCTATTCAGAATGACATGGAATTGAAATTTTTAATTGTCTTGGGGTTCATTTGTTTTGGCTTTGTTTTTGCTTCCCCCGCCCCCAGTACTGGCGAATCCAGGGCCTTATGCATGCTAGGTCTACCACTGAGCCACATCTTTACCCCTGAGGATAACAAACTGTGGAAAGGGAAACCCCATATATGGGGTAACTACTGTAACCAGAAAAGGAAAAGAACTTTGCAGATTCTCTAGTCTGCTTTTTTTTTTTTTTATAATAGTTATATTGAGATATAATTCGTATATCATAAATTTCATGCTTTTAAAATACAGAATTTAGTGGATTTAGTACATTTTCAGAATTGCAAGCCATCACTGTTATCCAACTCCAAAACATTTTCACTGCCTGCCTAAAAACCCCATACCCATTGGGAGTCATTCCCCATTCCCTCTCCAGTTGACTTTTCCCCAGAGTTTTATTACTTGAATAGAATATATTCTCACAATTTTGCAATTTCTATGTGCCACTTATACTATCATTTACTTTTTAGTTTAATCTGTCTATGCTTTTATAATGGTATCCTTGAAATCACAAGAATGATGCTATAATTCTTTTCTAATGCACATCATAATGGATGTGAAACTATCAAAATAATGTTCACTGAGCATTGTGGTGCGCACCTCACCCAGTGAGGCAGGAGGATCACAAGTTCAAGGCCAGCCTCAGTAACTTAGTGAGACTCTGTCTCAAAATAAAAAGGACTGGGGATGTAGCTCAGTAGTAGGACACCCCTGGGTTCAATCCCCAGTCTCGCAAAAGTAATAATAATTAATCTTCATCTATATGCCATCTAAAATTATATATCACAACTTTAAGGAACATTGATTTATATAGTTTGCTAATTTAGAGTCTGAATACCTAAAACCTCATGAAAGTCACTGAATATCACAAGTTGATACAACTGTTGGCAGTGGAGCTAGAGGGACAGCCCTGCTGGCCTTGCTTGTGGCTCCCTTGGTGTCTGCCCTCCTGTGCTAGCTCAAGCAGGTAGGAGACTGGGGAGTCAGAGAAGGCAGGAGCAGCCTTGTGAAAGGGGGTGGCATTCTGAGTAAACCTTGATTGATAGGCAGGTTGGGTCCTACAGAGATCCTGAAGAGACATTCCAATCCAAGAACACTGCATCCCTCCATTGCTCAACCGCAGGGTCTTTTTAGAGAAGGATATGAGCCCCATTGAGGCTCTGAACCCCCATCCCCACTTTAGCCAGATCTTTTAGCTGTTTTATATATTGGGGTTCCTAGAAGGTTTTATTTGAAAAAAAGAGTTGAAACAGTATGTTTTATCATTTTAGCAGTAAAACTGGATCATGCAGTATTTATGGTAGAAAATAAAGGCCAGAACCCAAATTGCAGCAGGTCTTCATGGACAGAGGTCTCCACTCTGCTACTCAGGAATCAGAGGTCCCCATTTGGCTTTCTCTGAAAATATCTTCTTTTTTAAGTTATAAATGAAAATACTCCAGAACTGGGGAGAAGTTATAATAGTTTAGACATGACAAAAATTTTAATTTAATTCAACAGATGCTTGTTGAGCTTACTCGGTTGCATGTGAGTGGACATGAGTTGCTGTGAGACCACCTCCAGCCTCTCCCAACTCCCTGTCTGTGGGACAGCAGTAGTTATTAGGAGGACTTTAAAATGTGTAGGTTATGGTTCCTGCCCTCAAGGGACTTAGAATCCACTCAGGCTGAGCCATAAAATATTAGCTATAATTAACTACAGGGCACAGGTCAGGAGCAATGCGGCTGCCTGCTGACGCTGTCAGACTCTGTCAGTGCTGCTCAGCCGGCTTGGTTCAGAGCTTCATGTCGATTAGTTCGTTTAATTCACACTGTAGCTTGGGAGGTAGCGTTGTTGTCCCCCAGTTTTACAAAAGAAGAAACAGAAACTTAGGTCGAGTCCCTTTTCTGGAGTTCAGCCCCTAAGTATTGAATCAGAGCCTTGAATTTAAAGAGTGACTTTAAGGTGCAGGCTCTTAACCTCTTGGTGGACTGCACCCCAGAAAGTAGAGAGAGGAGATGTCAGACAGGGATTGAGGGAAAGGAAGAGTCAGCCAGGGATGAGGCCTTGAGACAGGGCAGCTGTGAGAAAGGTGATGACTTTGGCAGATAAATGGAAGCTGAGAGGAGGGTGGGTTCGGTTCTTGATGGTGTGTTGAAATTGAGGAATGGCCAACGGGAAGGACCCAGCAGGCAACCAGAAATGCCGCTCTGGAGATGAAGGTGTTGGCAGTAATAGTGTAACTTCTGGTGCTTTTTGAGTACTAATCAGCTACCAGATACCATCCCAGGTACTTCACATCCATTATCTCCACCCCATCTGCCGATAGCAGTCCATTCTGCAGGTGTAGCAACTGCCCAGGTACCAAAAACAATGAGAGGTGGGGCCAGGATCTTGACCCAGGCAGTCCAAATTCAGAGCCATTCTCTCCTATGCTGCCTCTTGAGATGATTTCATATCCTCACAGTGCTTCTGATGAAAGTAGATTATTTATGCAAGAGCTGGGAAGTAGAATTTGCAGCCAGCAATCTTCTTATCTTTCTGAGTCATAATTATAGAGATAATATGAATTAAATGAGATGTCATATTTTGAAATTAACCAAATGCACTCATTTTTTTTTTTGTACCAGGGATTGAACCCAGGGGCACTTAAGCACTAAGCCACATCCCTTAACATTTTATTTAGAGACAGGGTCTCACTGAGTTGCTTAACGCCTTGCTTTTGCTGAGGCTGGCTTTGAACTCACAATCCTCCTGCCTTAGCCTCTGGAGCTGCTGGGATTACAGGTGTGTGCCAAGCACCCCCAAGTGTACTTTTTTTTTTTTTTTTTTTTTTTTTTTGAGAGTGAACAATTTAACCTAGAATGATATTACCTGCTATCAAAAGCCACATGGGGCTGGGATGTAGCTCAGTGCTAAAGTGCTTGCCTCACATGTGCAAAGCCATGGGTTCGATCCCCAGTGCCAAAAAAAGTAAAGACCCAAAACAAAACAAGCCCCCCTCCCCAACAAAAAGAAAGAAAAGGCTACATTTGTAGAGAAGTACTTATATGCTTCTGTAAATGATATTGTGTGGGGCTGTAGGGTTTTCATAGTAATCATATTTGAGCTGTATTCATGGAGTTTACGACAGATCTCACAGATCTTCCCAGTACCTCTCTGGAGTAGGGAAGGCATTTTTCACTGTTCAGGAGAAGGGAGTCAAGTGACTTTCCCAGGACACATAGAAGATAAGATGGATTAGGAATATAGAAAGAAAACCTGAAAATGTATAGTAAGAAGTATCCTTTTAAACTACTTAGAGTAATTAAAGGAGAAACTTTCCATTTATGCTGTAGGTTTCATGTCATGTGATTAGAAGTGTCCAGGATTTTAAAAACCAGAAGGAAGTTAACCAGAAAATGGAGAGAGCATCAAGCGTGTGATTTGAGTTAATGTCTTCTCTTTTCAGGGCATGGTGGCAGTGTCTGGCAGTTTGTCAGTGCTTCTGGATTCCATTATCTGTGCTCTTGGCCCCTTGGCATGTCTGACTACACAACTACCTGAATTGAATGGCTGTCCCAAACAAGTCTTGGTGAGTTTTCCTTAGACTTTTAGGGCCAGACCTCTAGGAGATCAGAGAGGCCCTGCCTTAACCGGTGCTGTCAGGTAGACTCCTAGGGCTTTCTGGTTCATTGCGCACGTCCCGTGGGATGTGTTCTGTGTTACCAAATGCATGTTATGCTTAGTGAAACTAGAAAATATGCCATTTCCCAAACTGGTACGTTAGAGAGAGGAAGTCTAGCCCTTGAGGTGCTATAATTCCTGCATTTCCCATTTGCTCTTCTATATACTGTGCAGGAATTTTTTTCTCTTTTTCACTGGGATTAATGGGAGAAGTCAGCAGAAAAGCTCCTGCAAACAGCAGGATGCCATCATCATTCTTACCCTGTGTTCTCTGACTTCACTTTTTCTGTCTCATCTCTCTCCCTGAACAAAGAAACATATCTCAAGAAATCACAGTAAAGTACCCTTCAACTGAACCTTTTTTCCTTGTTTTGCAGTCAAACACGCTGGACAACATTGCTTACATCATGCCTGGACTGTGACAGCGGGGACTCCTGGGGCAGAAGCCTCACCTACCCTGTGTATAGGTTTGTGTATATATGACTGTTCAAACCCCTCCGCTGGCCTCTGGGTGTAGGTTTTACATTTTTATATCTATACATATATATATACATAGATATATCTGTATATATGTAATGTACAATATATACATAGGATTGTAACTACTTTGCTTTTAATAATTTTATGAAATGGCAAAGGTTTAGCCAAGAGGAATCTTTGGCATGAGTATGGGCTTGGGATCTTTCTTCTCTTGTGGTGGGTAAATCTGCCTTAAAAATCAGTGTATCTTGGGGCTGGGGGCTTGTTCTGGGTGCCAAGTGCATCTCCTTATGGATAGCTAAAATGTGATTTTTTTTCCAAACTCATTTGTACCTCCAGACCCATCACTGACCACTTGCCTTACCTGTCTAATAGTCAGACATATAATAAGAGAGATTATGGGAGGGTGCCAGCTGACCCGAAGTACAAAGGCTTTCAATCTGAAGTGTCGGAGGTGGGAGGTGATGAGCTCATTCCCACTGTGGCTATTAAAGTGGCTTAGATGGACTAAGTAGGGGGTTCATTCCAAGTCCTACTATACAGTGTCCATGTCTCAAACTTTATCGTAATCATTGGTACCATTGGCAGCCTCAGCAGAGGCCAAGGAGTTGTGCGATTCCTGGCAGCAAAAATACCTTGGAGAGGGTGATGCTGCTGGTGCCACCGTTGGACCTGCATGTATTCTCTTAGCTGACCAGAGTATTTGGTTTGTAAAACCAAGAACTGGTATCTTTCATTGGCAGCATTAGATTGGCCACCAAGTCCTCAGAAATCCTGCTGCTCATTTGCTTGGTGGTTATGGAAGGTAGACTTGGTCCAGCGTGGTTCTTGGGTTTATCTTAACAGTTCCCTTGGTGGGCAGATACACAGTGTTCTGCGTTCCACATGTAAGTGAATTGCAAAAAAAGTACTCAATTCTCATGTAGGTTTATTTATGTGTGTGTGTGTGTGTGAATGTGTATTTTAATTATGTGTATTTAACTCTTTAAAATTTCTTAGATTTTAATTTATCCTGTAAATTTATGTATATATAATTTAATAACAAAAGCCTCCACCAGCAACAGCATGTGGAAGATACAGATTTATTATTTCATCCTCCCTTCCTCTGGGCTGTTCCAAAAACTCTAAATCACCTATATTTTAAGGTATTGTACCTCAAAAAGGAATCATTATGTCGGGATTCTAATTCTCTATAAAGAACTTCATGGCCTTCAATAATGTTGAGAAAGTGAAATAAAAAGAAACATTACCATTCCCAGCTCCCCTTATTTCCAAAGACCTAGACCTGCTTCCCAGTTGCAAAGAAGACAGTTGGACACTTCAGGGTGGTTTCTGTTTGGTGTGAGATTCTCTGCCAAAACCAAGCTCTGAGGCAACTGTGCTTTCCTCCCCGGCCTAGACAGAGCAGGACAGCATCACAGTGACCTCTGGGGACAGTGCAGCCAGCCGGCGTCCCATTCATTCCTTCCTTTCTTCCACCAGTGTTACAGGGCTGTGCTTCCCAGAGGCATCTTGCTGCCTAGTCCCTTTCTCAGCTCAGAGCAGTTTTAAGATTTAATCCAGGAAATAGAAAGAAACCGGAATGTTTAGGAACTAAAATCAAGAGAAGCAGAAATCTTAGCTTGATTTCATGTGTCAGAACCTTGTGCCATGCCTCATCTGTCCCGCGCAAGTTTCCTGTTCCGACACAGGATATCAGGGAGGGGCAGGGAGACATGGTAGGACAGAAAGAACTCACTCCTGCCACTGTCATTTGTATACATGAATGAAATCCCAATGAGGACCCACTTTTTTGTTTTCCTTCGAAACCCAGTCCTATTGTATTTGTATTTAAGATTTGTACACATTTGTATAATAATCTGTACCTTGTGGTATTTGGTACTATTAGAGGAAAAACTTTGGATTCGGGCCTTCTTGCAGTTTTTATATCATTGTTTTATTTTGTTTTTTAAATAAATTCTAGTGGTTTGATCCAAATCCCATTACAGTTGTATAAAGAAATAAAATTTTGTACTTATATTATTAAAAATCACATTTTTAATATTTGTAGTTCAGTCTCAGCTGTCTTTTCCCTATTTGTGCTAATCATAGTTGCTACAAAATTAAAACCTCTTTCATATTCTACGCTACTATAATTTTCTTTTAAAAATAATGGAATAGAGGTCAAGTTTCTAATCTCAACCATTTTCCTAAAATATATCTTACTGTGTTTTGTATTAATTTTTATATTGTAGAGCTTCTGGTTCTCTTTTATAAACTTCAAAACCAGTAACTCTGATAGCTGTGACTGTATTTATTGGCAATGAAACTTTATACATTGGTTTTGGCCTAATTCAAGAAAAGATCCATCAATCTTGGGTAAGGGTCATAGCTGTATAATTTACTAAATATGACACATTTCATGCTGTTTCAATACTGTCTGAGCTTAGTGATGTTGGCTAAGTCACTTAACCTTTATATAGGCTTCCAAAGTCTCATCTGTAAAATAGAGTAATTTCACCTCCCTATCTCCAAGCCTCAGCCAGCCAGCCAGCCTGACATCAAAGTTTAGTAATACTACAAACATTGATTATATGGAAATTTGACTTTTCAAGGTAAAAAATCTGTGTGAACATAAGATGTTAAAAGTCACAAATAGGTCTTAGGGTATAGCTCAGCACTTGGCTATCACATGCAAGGCCCTGGGTTCAGTCCCCAGCGCCGCACACACAAGGAAATTTTTAAAAGGCGACATCTTATGAAGAAGCAGCAAGAAACAGACTGTCAAACAGGGAAGGACTGTGAGACTGGCGTGCATATTTCATCTCCCCTCATCCTCTCAAAAGCCTTTGAATGTTATTCCCCTTTACTGTCTGTGAGGAGAAAAATGCAGAAAAGTACTTTTCACAAGTAAATGGCAAAGTAAGAATAAGAACACTGGGGCTGGGTCTGTAGCTCAGTGGTAGAGCGCCTGCCTAGCATGTGTGAGGCACTGGGTTCGATCCTTAGCACCACATACAAATAAATGTAATAAAAAATAAAAAAGAATAAGAACATTGGTATAGCTACCCCAAAACCTAGGCTCTTTCTACCCCAACCTACTTTCAAATTCAAATCCTGTTTTCTACAGTCCTGATTATAGAGAAACAGATGAGATCTTATCCTTGTCCAGAAGCCCAGCAGGCTTTCACTCTTCTTATTCTGTTGAGTTTAAGTTTTGGAGGCAGTGTATCTTGATTATTCTCCAAAAGTACATTAAAGGATATAGATTGCATTTATGTAGTATGTCAGTCTTAAGGTACTTAAAGATTTTTACCTTAATAAAGAAAATACAACAACACTAAAAGGAAAAAATTTAAATTGAAACAGATTTTGGGGGGTTTTTTGGGCAGCAGAGTTGTACTAGAGATTTAATCCAGGGGCACTTTACCACTAGGGCTACATCTCCAGCCCTTTTTGTTGAGACAGAGTCTCTGTAAGTTGTTTAGGGCCTTGCTATGTACTGGAAACTGGACTTGAATTTGCAATCCTGCTTCAGACCCTTACGCACTAGGATTCCAGACATGTGCCACTGCACCCAGCTAAAACAGACTTTTTACTGGATAAATTTGTTTCTTATTAGCACACTTTAAAAAAAGTTTTGGTCAGGGTGCCGAGACTGTAGCTCAGTGAGTAGGGTGCTTGCCTCGCATGTGTGAGGCACTGGGTTCAATCCTCGGCGCCACATAAAAATAAATAAAGATACTGTGTGTTCGTTCATCTACAGCTAAATAAATATTATACTAAACTTTTGTCATTTATATCCCTATCGACTGTTTTGATAAAATTGACATATTTCCTTTTCTGTATTAATAGCTATGTAGTATGCATGGAATCAATACAATTCTGCTTCCTATTTAGGCATATTTGGGTTTTTTTCTGATTTTCTGTCACGAAGAATAAACCTTACAGGAACTTCAAGCAAGTCCATTCAGTATGGGGATATTAAGGTTGTCAGTGGAAGAATCCAAAATCTCATGTTCGGTATCCTCCAAACAACCAAGCAATATGCTTAAATAAAGAAAGACATAGAAAGTAACTTATGAAATTCATCTTAAATGTACACATCCCCCTTTATAATCCAAATACCACTACTGAAAAGTTGACATGCTAGTCATTGTGTTAGACGACTGTAGGGATCCCAACAGACATAGTATCCCAGCCCTCATGGAGCTAATTAGGTAGGGGGAAGGGCATTTGTCTACAAGTCTTATGAACATTATTGAAACACTTCAAAACAGTTTTATACAGAAAAAAAGGTCCCATGGCAGCTCAAACAAGTGATACATAAAACAAATCACAGAAGTGACTAACATAGTCCTAATTTAGGTTTTAAACTCCCTGATGTTTTAAGCAAAATTGGATCACTGTCTTTTTTTCCTCTTCAATTTTTCAAAAGAGCCTGTGACCTAAAAAAATAAAATAAATTGGTTAAGAGTCCTTGATCTAATTCCAGTATCCAGAGAAAATGAGCTCGCTGTTTGGATCACAAGGTAAATTAATGGCAGAGAGTGCCACCGCGCCCTTTCGTGACTACATCTGTGTTCGCTAGCCTGTCAGTCTTCAGTAGAGGCAGGTGAAGCGGACGCCCACTTGGAGCCGGGGAAACCTGACATCAGTTAGAAGTCCTATCATCAGGCGGGAGCAGGCGAGCCCCATTCTCAGGTGTGTAGTCTCCGCGAGGTCCCAGGCCTAGAGACAGTCTCCTTAACCTTCAGGTCAGTCTTCCAGGGGTGTTGACACCTTTAGGCCACGCCCCTAAAAGCCAGGTGAGCGCTGTAGGGGCGTGGCTTAGGGGCCTTGTCCCAGCCCCGCCCCAGCCCTCCGAATGCGTGACATCCGCCGACGCCGAGGGGCTGCGGCGAGGTCGTCGATCTCAGAGCGCCCGCCTCGCCGTCAGGGCGGGGCCTGTGGTTCGGCGCCTGGGCCCCGCCCCCATCGGCACCTCCCCCGGGCTGTCCGCCGTGTCACGTGACGGGTCGGCGGCGCTGGCGGTTGCTGTCAGCTGATTCCCGGGGTTGGTGGCAGCGGCAGCCGCGGCGATGGACTTTCTCCTGGGGAACCCGTTCAGCTCTCCGGTGGGACAGCGCATCGGTAAGTCCCTGGAGCCCCGCACAGCCCCTCCCCAGTGTTCCTCACTCGGCTTTGGTCCCCGGGGAGCCTCTAGGTCCCCAGTCTCTGCGCTGGGAGGTTAGGAGGGTGATAAGGCTGGCGTGTCGCCGTCCCGCCCATTTCCCCGCCCACCCTTGATTGACAATAGCGCGGGCCAGTAGGAAGCCGGCATAGGGATGGATGCTTGTGAGTGCCAATAGGAAAGGAGAGCGGACAGGTCCAGACGGGCGCGGCTCAACCAATGTGCGCGTGCTGGGGTCCCGAGCGGAGGGAGAAAGTTTTCGGGGTTAAAGGGACAGCGTGGTTGGGTAGGAGTTGGTTGGTGGACTGCTTCCCGCGCGTGCTCTCCTGCGGGCCCCGCTGCCAGACTGTTGCGGGCTGCTTCCGGGCTCGCCGCGCTGCCGGGACGTGGATACCTGAGCGGCATCAGACGTCCCTTCTCGCTAGACCTGGGAGGCTAGGGCTTGGCGCCTGAGGCGACTTGAGGGAGACCGGCCGGCGGGTCTCGCAGACCCGAGGCTCAGGACGCGCGGGCCTCTTCTGCTACACCGAGCGACCCCGCTTCTAGAGCCCTTCGCTGGCGTGATCTCGGAAACCACGGGTCGGCCTCCCTGGCCCCCAAGTGGCTGTGCAGAGAGCACCTGCCCAGACGTGCGGTTCGCAGGAGCCCAGGGCTCCGGGCCCGCTCGGGACTGAGTGTCTCCGCGCCCTGTCACCAGTACACGGAGTTATGTGGCAGAGCCCCAGTGCTCAGGGCTTCTCATAGTCGTTAGGGAGTTATGATCCCTGCCTCCTTGGACTTGTGCAGATTAAACTCGTTAATAACATGAGGTCCAGAAGCAGTGCCCAGCATGCGGCCAGGGCTATGCGAAAGAAATTCTTAATAACTTTTATCTTTGTTACTGAGATACCCACCGAGTGGGGATCGAGAATCCCAGGAGATCACCGGCAGTAGGTCTCTTAGGTGCCCATTCCTCAGCACAGGCCAAGGCCAAAGGGACACTAAAGAGTCAGTCTGGGTGTGGTCCTGTCTTGCATGAAGTAACCATTACGGCCCTGGGAAGGTGGCATCTTAGATAAGCCCTTCTTTCCATACTTAATGTTATTACTGACTGATCCGTGTGGTAATGGCCACAGGATTATGTAATTGCCACGGGAGTGAAATAATCTCAGATCTGCCGACCGACTACCCTCGTGAGAAGAAAGCTTGTAGGACTGGCATCCCTGAGGACAGGGGGTTCTAATGATACCACTAGGGTGAGAGGCACTTGACTACCATCCACACACAGCCTGGGTGATTACTTGTCCCCCTGCCTGGAATGTCTGCTCCTGTTTCCTCTCTGAGCAGTTCTACTCATCCTTCTCCCTGAGGCCTTCCCTGGGCCCTTCAGGTCCAGTCACTGCTTCCCGCTCTCCCAGGCTCCTGCCTCCCAGAATCCCTGAAGCTGTGGCTGTCAGTGCAGAGCAGGCTAGTCCCAGATAGCGCCTGTGCAGTGCAAGTGTGTGGAAACATGAGCTCTCCATCGTCACACGGAGACACCGCTGTCCTCTTGTGTCTGCACATGTCTGTCTCAGCTAGGCTGGACTTCTTGAGAGCAGGAACTGCCCCCCACCTATCTAGCCGCCCAGCACCCAGCATGATGCTGGCACCAAGAGGGAAGAAAGTAGAAAAGTGACATTTTGAGAGTAAAGAGCATTCTGCCGGGGTCCTTGGTATTCATCTTCATGGTGACCCTGTGAGCTTCTGCTGCTTCCCGTTTCACCAAAAGTAAGTCAGAGCCAAGGAAGCCCTGCCAGGGTCTCACAGCTCCTGGGGCCAGAGTCCAACCCCAGCCTTGCTTTTGCGCCTCCCGCCATGGCCCCGCAGGTCCACACAAGGATCCCTCACAAAGGAGGACATGCCCATGGGTTTGCACACT